ACACATCACGGTAAAGGAGCCTGGGTACTGAGTATCATTTAGGTCCACACCTGAAGGGACTGACCAGCTCCTCTCATGCTGTTGGTGAGACGCTAGAGGCCTGGGCACTTGAGTGACTCGCGCAGGACTTCCGAGGCATTGGAGTCCTGCTAGTCCACAGGCGGATGTATTGCCAAAGCGGCTATACATCTTCACTTACATCAGAGTTGTTACGAGTACATTTATAGTGATAATTATATTTTTGTTTAACCAGTTGACATCCGCGGTGTTAAACCCCCTTCCCATCCAGGCCATTTTTCAGTATTCAGCGCTGCGGTACTTTGACTGACATTTATTCCGTCATGCAACGCTGCACTGAAATTCATTTTATACAATTTTTTAGGGACAGATAGAGTTTTCTTTTGGTGGTATTTATTCACCACTGGGGGTTTTATTTTTTACTATATTAAGGAAAAATTACCGAAATTTAAAAAAAAACAAAAAACGATTTCCCCTATATTAAATGATAAAACATTTATTACTACCCAATTTTTTGGTAAAATATAAAAGACGGGGTCACGTCGGGTAAAAAGACAAACATGTCAAGCCTTAAAATTGCGTGCGCGCGCGAAACCTCAAAAAACGATAATATCCAAAATTGCCCATAGGCGACGCTATAAAAGCTTTTACCGCTCATCAGTTTAGTGATATCAGTGATTGATGGCCCTAAAATGATTGCTCTCACTGCGACGTTCAGGGCGATATGTAACGTGTGTAGCAGTAGCAAAGGCACACTTGACAGGTCCTCTTTATGGAGACATTAGTCCTCTTTATGGAGAAAAAACGAGCACATATAGACGTAGGGCTATGGAGCCGCCGATCGTCTATATGTGAAACACCCAGTAACGGGTGTTTGCATTGGTCGGGTCTTTTCTGCCCGACCTTTCTGCCTGGGGCGGCACGCCCGAGCAGAAAAAAAATGCCGTCTGGAGACGGCAACCCACCAATGCTGCAGTGCCGTCCGTCTGTTTTTTTTACAACGGGCGGACGGCAAGTGGTTAAAGATGTCTATCAGTTGTACGTGCTCGGTGGCTGCGCCCACTGCTATTGTATTGGGAATTTTGTCCCTTACTTAATTTCTGTTGCATTTATTCTTGAAAACTTGTTCAATAAAAGAATTTATAAAAAAACAAAAACAAATATACTGACCTTACATCTGGCTTCCATACTGGAGAAGGTGATGTCACCATTCTTCTGCACTGCGCAAGAGCATCTTCTCACTAGATTTAGTATCCTCAGCCTTCCCAGGATCTCCCTGGAAGGACTATGACATTACCCTCACCTAAGCTCAGCATTCAGAATGTTAACATGTTTTCTACGGCCTCTTTATAGATTTGTGTTTTAGCATTATAGTGGAGGTCTTATGCGAAGGTCCACTTTAATAGGCTTCCACCCTAAAGAGTGTGAGCTCTCTAAAAACAATAGTTGGAACATTAGGGCTCCCTGGGGGCACAGACCGATGGGTACTTCTGATATGCTGCAGAGTATGCCTGACCATGTAGATTAACTGCAAAATAATATTCTTATGAGCACCAAAGGGAGCAGCATTTTATGACTTGACATAAGTGATAAGTTAGTAAGAAAAACGAGGACCAGTCAGGAAACAAGAATATTGTTTTAATATTGCATGCTAGTAGGTAAATGCATACAGAAACAGTCTTGGTGAGGCATTATAAAAGCTGAACTCCAAGCAAACAGTTAAATATACTGATGAAATACATATTTGAGGGCTGTTTACCTGCTAAATGGATTTGTTTGTGTCCATCCAGTCCTGAGATAGCAACATACCACAGTCCTGTCTGGCAGGGAAGGGGAGCTAATCGCTGATGCATTTTTACCTACAGGTCTCTTCCACACCGTCATCTTGACTGAACAGTGCAAAGAGAAGCATCACACTGATAAGCTCATCTCCCTGAACTGCTTCCTCCTCCATCAACATGTCCCTTGCACTTCAAATCACCCGAGCGGCACCCTGTACTGCTACTCCCTCCCCATCTCTGCACTCTGCCGTTCAAGGGATTGCAAGATGCTGATACCAAGTCAAATTCAGGTACATACATTGCTTGCATGTACAAAACACAAGCATGTAACAATGATTACAGAGCTGCATTCATGTGTGTGATTGACTGCCTGGAGTTTAGCTTTTGAAAACAAGGATAAAAGCAAATAAAGAAAAATCATCCGGTTCGCTGACATCACTACAAAATAGTATTTCATACAAAAAGTAGTGGCTCAGTCTTCATAGGGTCCTAAATTGTGGTCAACCTGTGCTTCCTATGCTATGCCCAGTCAAATCTGAAACAGTAGTGAATGTTCAGGGAAATTATTTATTTGTTTCCTTGCAGTAGGGCTGCCCCCTCACTGCAAGAGCTAACTGCTTGTTTATTCTGAGGCGACAGGAAAATAAAAGTCACATACCTGATCCCTACTCGCCCAAAAGTCGGTTATTTCCTCTTCTCCAGCTGTGGACGGTCCCTTGCCATTCTGACATACAAAGCAGGGCTATGGAGCCTGTATTGTGTAGTTAATGTCATAAGCAGTTCTTAGAATGCCAAATCAAAGAGAAGAGGCTGCGTGTCCCAGTCCAGAAGCCTGGGGGGAGCCAGGGGAGTGGGGATCAGGTAAGTAATATAACTTTTTCCTACCCCCTAGGCGTAAACAAGCAGTCAACCCTTGCAGTGTGGGGTCACACTGGAAGTGAAAACTTTTCATTTCCATGGAGTTTGGCTTTAAATAACTCCACCAAAAACAAATTTGGAAACATTACTCGAAACTGAAAAACCCAGAAAGAACTCCAGCAGACTTATAAAGTACTCGGTAATTACAAAGTGGGGAATATTTTAACACAATGGCTAAATATAGACTTCAGGGGAAATTTTAGTTACTTTGTAACAAGCGACTAACTTCCTTCTGACAAAGCCCTCTGTTGCAATGCATAGATTTCAATATGCTGCCAATGAGGCCATTTCAAGAGATTAGGCACATGCTACCAGATGACCAAAAACTCAAGTACAGCCCCAAGGGCTCGTTCACGCCAGATGGGTTGAGCCAGGCCCATCAGCATCGATCAACACAAGCAGAAAGCAAGGACAAGAGAGAAAAATATGTTTTTTTTAAAACAAATTTTACCTTTGAAAAAAACACAAGCAATATGCTTCCAAAGTAGTGTAAACAGATTTCTTTAAATGACAAATGCCTTATTTACCTCATTTTTATCTTTAACATTGCTGGAGAATACCAAGCATACCATAAGAATCCCTAGTGTCACACCCTGTCTTCACGATTTATTCCAGCCAACTTCTCTGAATGTCTGCTGTTTGATCAGGTGACTGCAGCTGTTTCCCACCATGAGCCATCTGTAGTAATCTGAGGAGATGTGCATTGGCTCTCTTCCCACCTCTGCTTCTACATGGCACAGTATGCCGGGCTTCCAGTAGCCGCCATTCTAGCTTGTTGGGACACCAAGGAAAAAAAGCCAATAAACATTTTACCAGATCACTACGGGTGACCATAATCACCTATTCAATTGGAAGGAAGTGCAGACATTTAAAATTGTTTGTTATTCCTGATCTCCATGTTTTTTTCCACATTGTGTTTGGGGGTTTACATTTATGTACTTTTGTACTACTGATTTATTTTTTAAATTGATTTTGTCAATATCAATTATTGCTTAAAGTGATATTAAAGCCTCCTTTAAAAAAAAAAAAAAAATATTTCCTACAAGGAGACCCACCTTTGCTTGAGGCTGTTGCCGTTTTTCTTTTAAAGTTTTGAATTCTTCATTTTCTAGTGGGTCTTCGCAGCAATCTTCCCCCCGCCCCCTGCACCATCGTTCTAATGGAGGCATCTGTGCACACAGTGGCTGTGTGCGTCCATAGACACACACAGCCCCGTAGCAGGCCACGCGCTTCTCTCTTTGATGGCAGAAGGAGCCTATGACTCCTCTCCCATAAGTATCCTCCCCCCGCAACCAGGAAGTTCGGCGAATGGAGGATCGCTTTGGGACCGGCGGCGGGGACGAGCGTAGCCGACAGGCAAGTGTGGGGTAGAAAAAAAGGTGCCGGGCTGTTTTTACCCTAATGCAGAGAATGCATTAAGGTAAAAAACACCCACACCTTAATACTACTTTAACTAGTGAATATATACTGGCTTTGTACAAAATGTCTTCATTGTTTATTTTAGTCAGGACTTTAAAAAAATAAACTATGTTTGCCCTTTTTGGATTCAGATAGCATATTAATATTTTGCTCATTGTTTTTCAGCCAGTAGTTGGAGCTTTAGGCTTAAAATGTTTTTTATGAATGTCTTCTCTCTTATTGGAGAGTCAGCATGAAGATTCAGGCATACAACAGCACCTGGTAGCAAAATGCTCTGCTGTGCCGTCACCTTAGTTAATCCATAGTGCTCAGGCAATCCTCTTACATTTTATATTACAGATAATTAATACATATGTATATATTTATTATGTAAAGGAATCATACCAATGTAAGCAATACAATGAAAATATTTTATATTTTTTCACAAATGAAATGTGCCTTCTGAGGACTTTAACCTTACTGTCTTTTATTACGATTGATTTAAATAATAAAATGTGTTATTTAGCCATTTCCTATAGAGTATCTTTTTAAAGCCAAGAAGCATTGAGGGCATTATATCTAGCAAAGGAAAGACAAGGTTAACAAAACGCAAAAAGAAAAATCAAAATAATTTAAATCCTCCCCAATCTTAGTTAACGATTAATGTTGGGTGGAGTTTTACTTTACATTTCTATAGGAAAACATTGTTCCTATTGTATTTGTAAAGTGCTAACAGTTCAGACTGCTGTGCGGTGCTGGTCAATTACTTTGCAATAACGGACAAAACATCCTAAAGATTAGCTGCAGCCACTTTGCCCCACACTCCACTTATTTTGATGGGTAAAGCTCAGGGGGGCTGTTACTGCCATCACCAAAACACTTCTCATAATCCACCACTAACTGCAGACAATATCTGTACTGAAATGGTTTTAAAATCATTAACAGTCATCGTCAGGCTTGAGAAGCAGATATGAACACCCTGTGTATTGCCAGTGACTAAAGTAACAGTTACAGCCTTATTGCTTCAAAGTCTTTATGGCTATCTCCTCTTATGGTCGCCCTCGGAGTGTGACTGTTTTGTGCTCTTGCTTGAAGATGACGGAGATCTGCTTTTTTCCCTTTTGGACTCCTCGCTCCTCTTATAGGGATGTGCGCTGTGTTTTCTTGAATACCTCCTTTCCTGGCTGCGATCCCTGCTCTCCTTCTCATCGGGCGATCTCCTTCTGCGTTTCTCCCTGTCTGACGGCAGGGTGTTCTTAATGGTATTGATCAGAAAACGCTTGTTGGTGTTCACTAGTGGACACTTCATCCTGTGGAGCACAATAATACAACAAGATGTAAAGAAATTGTTTTACAGGCTCAAGATGATAAAGCAATGAGCTTGTCTTGTGCGCCACCTGGTGTACATTCTGAGAATACGGCTAACAAATGGCTACATTTTCAAACAGGGAATTGCCACTTTTCTCTAATATTAGACTTTCCTTAAAAGAAACTTAAAAGATATAAACAGCGTTTTGAATAAATTCATGGATAATAAGCATAAACATGTCACATTATACAAATTACATCTACCAAAGACAAAAACAATTCTGGGTGGACTGACCCTTTGTCAGCTTGTAGGGTCTCATTTAACCCAGTACTGATAGAAAATATGCCATTGCTGACCTCTCCTAAACATGCTAGTTCCCTGGCTTCAGTGTTTTCCAGTTCCCTGGAAGAAGTGCACAGCAAGTGATGTTAACGTAATGTCAAAAGTCCTAATCTCTTCCAGGTCAGTACACGGAACCCCCTATTGATGGGATATCCAAGCAACTATTATTTTCAGAAGGAGATCAGCAATAGCAACTTCCTTATTTTGGCAAGTGTGTATTTCCTTTAATCCAGTTTTATGTTCATTAAAATAATGAAACATTAAAAACATGCTGCATAGTACCCATTTTCCTTCCTCAGCTCCCTGAAATCCCCAGTACAGCAGCACACATAGGGATAGTCAGCCGTGTTAGTGGAGTAAATTCTAATGCTGCTCCTATTGTTTAATCAGCTGGCTGGGGCAAGAAGAGGACACAGTTGAATTCCACAACTGCAGCAGATAATGTGGCACCCACCTGGTTGTGCAGTAATCATAAAAGCAGCTCAATAGATTTACAAATTTTTTGGAAGTGTAGCCAGAGTTTGGCTTTAAAAAATAAAATTATTGTAATCATCTGCACAGCGAGGGAGAGGGACATAGACACAGCACTTTAAGCCATTTAGGTCTCGCTTTACGCAGTGCTGTCAAACAACCAGGAACATGCTTACTGAAAGATTAGATGAATGACCTCATGCGTGTGCTGCAGGCTGGGAATAGGGGGTCCTTAAAGTGACACTAAGCTCAGGAGTTCAATCTTAAAAATGCATTCAAGTACCTTACAGTGGACCTTTACTCCCTTTCACTAAAAAATCACATCCGCATGCCGCTCTGCATGCTGATATGAAATCATCTTACATTCATTAGCTAACAAACATGTTTTTCATTTACTTACAAATAGAGTTCATCTACTTCCTGGTCCACTTCTGGCACAAATTATGTAAATGATCCTGGGAAGGTTACATAAGCAGAGGATTGCTGGGAAATCTCATCTGTAATCTCATGATATCTCAGGGAAAGGCCCTTTCCTCCCGAGATAATATGCATGGTCAAAAGTCCTTTTCACATGTGCCAGAGTTCCAGGAAGTAAAGGAAGATATAGTAATCTGCCCTTAGTTAAAAAGGGCCACTGTCAGAAGACTGGGGAAGAAAAGAGAAAGGAGGTATGTAAAGAGTTATCTAGAAGTATGTGTTTGTAGATTGACATTACTAAACATTTCTAAAAGGTGTGGTTGTTGTTATTTTCAAGATACTTTAACTAGCAGCAAAAATGTATCTTATTTGTGTATCACTCGGCTGTAGATCCTCAAATCATCTCTGAATTGGTGCTTACACTGTCCTTCCTTCTGGAGGGTGGCTACTTTTCTTCCACATGGTCCCTGTGTGTGTTTTGTATAGTAGCCACCGCCCCAAACTCACTCCTGTGATGGACTACAATCTCATGTTTCGTTTACCAATTTGTATTGAGATTGTAGTCCATCACAGGAGTGAGTTTGGGGCGGTGGCTACTATACAAAACACACACAGGGACCATGTGGAAGAAAAGTAGCCACCCTCCAGAAGGAAGGACAGTGTAAGCACCAATTCAAAGATGATTTGAGGATCTACAGCCGAGTGATACACAAATAAGATACATTTTGTTAATAGTTGAAGTACTTGAATGTATTTTTAGGATTTAACTGGCGAGTTTAGTGTCACTTTAACTAAGCTGCACTGCTATAAAACACTGGAGGTCCAGAAACTTGTGCTTTCAGAAAGGGATGTCTGGATCATAAAACAGCTTTACCAGAATTATAAATCTTTTGGAAGGTAAGAAAACTCATAAAAATGTACTTCTTACTGTGTATTTAGCGGTTTTCCTTGATGTGCAAATACCAGTGTGTGTCTACAATCAAGGTTTGAAGCTAGTTTAAACAAAGTACCTTTAGGATATGTGAAAAACCAAATAGGGCTGCAACCAACTAAAATCGATTAATTGATAATAATCGATGAGAATAGTGGTCAATTATTCTCATTATCGATTAGTTGAATGGATCCCCTAGCTCTCTCCTCCATGTCGAGAGGAGGGCACAGCAAGCAGTGGGCGGGTGCAATAGCCAGCCTGCTATTGCAATTTAAAATTGCACCACCTCACTACCTAATGTATTTACATTCAGCTGCCGTCTGCGGAATCTTGCCACTGGCAGCTGTCATTCCTTGGCTGAAGCTATTCAAGTGCCATGTGCTTACAACACAATTATTTTTTTTTAAAAAGTGGGAGAAAAAAAAAATTAATTTCCTGTTTCAGCCTGACAAATTCTGCTGTGGGAGGTGTGATAGACCGCATTGGAACGCACGGTACTGCAATGCCGTGCGTTCCAGTGCAGTGCGATTGCAAAAAATTGTGCATGCAGTTTTATTCTGAAGTAAACTTTTATGTTTGTAACGCTGCATTTGTGTATTTTAAATGAAGGATGGTATTTTTTTATCCGATCAAAAAAATAAAATCAACCAATTTATTATGAAAATAATCATTAGTTGCAGCCCTACCGGTATACACCGATTATTTGCAAATTTACTGGCAATTTTTACTCCAACAAATGCTTTCCTTTAAAAGAGAACAGATCATAAATTCAGATTGAACCGAATAAATGTGTTTTATAAATTATAGTAATGAGAACTATACAAGGGGTCTGTAGTGTAAATTGTCTGCACACTGACCCTTTCCTGTCTGGCACACAGTCACAGATCTGCATTGCTCCCATAGAACCTCTCTGCTCCCTGTGAGGACAAACACTGTAAGCTCCTCTAAGCTCTAAAAAAAATTTGTAAAAAAGAAGAGCATGGGAGCTGCCATTGCTGGCCCCAATCTAAAAATGCTAGTGGTCTGTGCTTGGGTCAAAAAAACCTTAGGAGTTACACATCTGGAAAAAGTATAGTGCGAGTGTCAGGAAAGTTAATTCCTTATCTCTCTGCTTGTTCCTGGACTAAAAACTCAGCATGACAACGAAGAAACAAACTCCTCAAAAGGACAGCCTATAAAAATCTCTCATGACAAGTGTACTATGAACCTGCAAGCATGGCAGGTCCCCTTTACAGGCACAGAGTCTACATTGACACCATGAAATCCACACAGTTTACACAGTCAACCTGTCAAGGACTTCATTATACTCCTATAGAATTAGCTTGTTCTGGAAAACCTTTTTTGGGCCCTGTTTGAGTGAATGAAACATATTACCTTACAATATTCAACCTTCTAGTTAATGAATGACGAGAGATGTGTCATTATGATAGTCTGTGAGAGATGTCTCATATGTAGCTCTCTCCTGCCACAGTCCTTCATTTTTCTTGTCCTCCCAACACATTTCTCAGGTTCTTCTGCTGGCTACCTAGTCCTTTCAATTTGAATATTTTCATTTTAAAAGAGAAATGGATAAGAAGAAATGACCAGTAGATAGTGTTCCTTGTCGAAGAGGATCCGAATTAACAGCAGTTAAAATAAAAAATTAAGTATCGTCTTAAGTATTAAGTATAGCTCAGCTGCTGAAAAACACCAGTCATCGCATATACTGTGAAGCCCTTCCCCCCCCTTTTGCTGTTGTATATTATAGGTGAGCTTTCTGATTTTAATCCCTAGCAACGATAATTATATTTGTTATAAAATAGCCCAAGCAGAAGGAAATTTATACATGATAATATTTTGTATGAAAGAGCACTTACCTTCCAAAAAACCCTTATTCTCATTAGATAAAAATAAAGTACTAGGAAAATGCTACATACCAACCCATTGGTCCCATCGTCTCAGCACGATCTTTTCCACGTTGTGCCTCTTTAAGAAGTTCTTCCACTGCTTTCCTGCATACAAAAAAAACAACATATTGACACAAACTGAGAAAAAGACAATAATAAAGTTACAGTGAAGCTGGAGAAGAAAGAAGAGATGTTACAGTGCGGAAGTTTTTTCACTCCATGCTGGTGTTCAATCAAATCACAGAAGTGTTCCCTGCTGTCTAGAAGATGAGCGTTATCTGATCATATGCAACAGAACATTGCTAAGAAACAGCATGCAGAAGATAAAGAAGACAAAATGTGAAGATTATTGATCCGATGGCCTGCAAGGTTAATGGGAATCTAAATTAGAAGTGTTTATCGACATTAATAATTTCTCATAGTTATTTTTCGATTGTGTCTGAACATGACTGAAAGGGCAGCGTTCTGTTCTTAGGGTAAGTGCCATTTCCTTCCGGTGCTGTTTATTACACAATGCAAAGCCACTCGTGTAGATAAAAAAAAAAAGACATTATTGCATCTAGGTATTAATAAATCATTAAATGTATTAATGATTTCAGGCTTTTCAGCCTTTCCTGTATAGCAGCACTCAGACTGGGAGAAAGAGGGGCAGCACTGGGTGACAATCAGGTGTGCTGCATGCAAATCTGATGACATGGAATATGCTGATAGGACAGAGCAAAGTGAGCAGAAAGATGACCTCATCAGTCTGCTGATACTCCCTCAGTGTCCAGTCAGCAGCCTCAGGACACAACTGTAGACTTCTGATGTCTAGAACTTGAACAGAGAAAGTGATATTATCCGCCTGGCTTTGCTGTGTGGTTGAGTTGTGTAAATAGCAGAACTGGATAGACAGGAATATCAATCTTTTGGCAGGTAAAACATCTCACATATATGTATTTTATCTTTGTATTTAGTGCAGCTTTAAAATGTTGAAAAAGCCTATGAATACAATAAAAGCCATAGTAACAAAAGTCTTCCGAACCAAGGACCTAAATAACAAATTTATAAATCCATATAGCTCTTTAATTAAAGTGCAAAACAAGTAGGCAGGGGCAATTAAGGGGTAACAAAAGTCTAGGGCTGCAACAACTAATCGATTTATTCAAGGATAATGAGAATTGTTGTCAACGATACTCATCGATTAGTTGATTATACGATTAGTCGTTTCATAGGCTTTGTTCTTTGATCTCCGCTGCTCCCAGCGGGGATGGGAGGGGACACAGACCCCTGCAGCCGATGCTCAGCAGTGAGAAGAGCTCCAAAACTCACTCTTCTGTCTCCGCTGTTCTGCTTCCCCATTTTCCTCCCCACTGGGAGTCCCTGCAGGCTGCGGTCTGTTTCTGCAACTTCTCTTTTCGTTCCCTACTCTGCTCATTGACAGCAGGCAGTGGGTGGGTGCAATAGCCAGCTTGCTATTGCAATTTGAAATAGTCAATAGCAGGCTGGCTATTACTCCAAGCCACTGCCTGGTGTGTTTACATTCAGCTGCCTCAGCAGGGGAGTCTATTGTCAACCTAATGTCAACCTAAAGAGAACCTGTCATCTTCAATAAGCTACCACATAGGGGGCTTGTTAGCCCCCCATGTGATAGCAATGAAGTAAAAAAAAAAAAGAAGTTTAAAAAAATTAAAG